TCAACATAGCCTTTCCCGTTTTTTTGTCTCTATGGACAATTTTTACAGCTGAGAACCAAAGCCAACCCAAACGCATATTTCGGTTGCAATTTTTCGATACTTAGACATAGACGTAAGCGTATAGTCACAAATTAGATTTTCCTTTTTTTTTTTATATTCTTGGCAGTACTGTGACGCTAAAATTTATGACTCCGTAGTACCATTGTTACGGTTCTCCTCATGGGGAGAGCGCCTTCTAGAAAACCTTCGACGTCATCACTGTGGCCAATATTGATGTTATCATCACCTGTTTACCACCATCAATCTCACGATTGGCATCGCCATCACGTGGACGGACCACTTCAAAATTCAACTGACGCTTCGAGCGCGGCCTATTTACCGACCACGACAAGGACCAAATTAGCTCCTCATAGCAGTACTACTAACAACAGCGGCCATTTTGATTACACAGTTCGCTGCTTTTGGTGCTCGGGAAGAAAGCCGCAAGCTTGTTTGGCTTCATCTGTAGCGTCATCACTTCTTCATTTAAGGTCGATGCGTTGGTTTGCTCTTCCGCTTCGCTGGTGCCTTACATCTCGGGCTTAGCAGAAGGGCAGAAGGTATCATCGTATACCTCTTCTGATGATCTAAAGCACGGCTGCTTTCACTGACGCTGCCGGACGCTGCAATTTTGATGGTGACAATGATGATTATGATCCGAGCGCTGCCTCGCCCATCGCGTCGACGAGGCGGTACGTATTCGTTGAACGTTTACCGTTTCAGTATCCAGCAGGTCATTGAGTAGTATTGCAACAGCGCATTATTTCATTGACAATAAAAGGAGAAGCGACATACATAGGTTAAAAAGGTCGTAGCGGTTCTGGCATCCGGCTATATTATCGCGTAGGCCATTCGTTCATACTTTTAATGGTATATTCGTCGTTGTCGCCACAATTAGGTATCTGCGATCTGCAAAAACGAGGCAATCGCGATTTACCTGCATCTATTGTTTTTGATCGCTTTTCATCGGACAACTCATCCTCGGGGTATCTGCTAGGTCATGACACACATAAACACAAACACATCTTCCCCGCAGCGTCGAACAATTGTACTCGTCGATTATTTATTTTAAACGGAAAAAAATGTTTAGGCATTAGTTTAAATGAGATGATCTTCATGGCGTTTGCACAAGACTCAGTGACT